GCCTCGCACCGAGGACCTATCCAGTCATCATTTACCCAGAATGCTTTGTGTGTAAATAAAATGGCCCTGTCCGTGTAATATATTTTTAAACTTTTAGTTTAAAAATGATAAAAACTGAACAGCCTACAGTATTTTTACAGTCTTTACTTTACAGTTAAAATCTATGTTTATTAAATAAAGTCTAATGTTACAACTAATCATGGATCCCTTTAAAAGATGCAAATATTAATGTAACAACATCTCTGCAGGTAACTATCCTTTCTAAAATCCAGCTGTTCTAAGGTGTTTGGGTTGGGTAGGCRGGAGAATCAAAACAAAATGATGATATTTTACAGCCTTTTATTGTTGTAAAGCCCCCCCAATGTGTGAATCAGTGGTTCCCATATGTCTCCAGTACAACGTGTAACCCAATCCGCCTCCTTTTGTGCCACCAGGCTTCCCGGGTTGAACAGTTTCCAGCGCGGTCTTTTGTCCAAAGCAAAGAAAATCCACTTTAAATCAAAGYGTGAGGTCAGAAGCCAGGTATTAAATTCCACTTGGCTGTCGTTTAACAAAACCCACACATCCAGGTCTGGTTGTTTTCTCCCCGTGTGAAGGAGTGAGACGTTAATGTTGTTGTCATGGTGGAAACAGAACCGTGTCACAAGAGACCCGGCTCATACAGGACACTGCAGTTTTATGGTAATTATGTGCATTTTTTAATATTTCTCCCCCTCTGCACAGATGCGCAGCAGCCCGAGGGGAAAGCAGAGCACAGACAGGACGGCTTTAAATTAAAAATGACTCCCCCTGTAAGACATAAAGTCTTTGTTTCTGTAAACATGAAAGTGTAGATGGTTGGGAGCGATTACAACTGGGTTCATTTTTAGGCCCCGTCCTGGTTCTGAAGAATATTTTTAGAAGATCTGCCCGTTGTCGCAGATTCTGTTCTCAACTTTTATGGGCAGAATTTCTTGGTGCAGCCGAAGCGGACAGAAGGGATTCGGTTCATTGATCTCAGGAGGATGATCTGGTTCTGTTGGCGTCATTGTGCCGTGATCTTCAGCTCTCACTGGAGCGGTTCGCAGCTGGGAGGGGGATCAGAACCTCYTGATCTGAGGCCGTGGTCCACGGTTGGGACAGCGGGGACTGTCCCCTCCGGGTTGATGTTCTGCCTCAAGTGGAGGAGTTCATGTATYTTGGGGTTTGTTCACAGTGAGGGAAGAATGAAACGTGAGATCAACATATGGATCGCTGCAGCTTCTCAGTGTTGTGGATTGAAAACTGGTCCATTGTGGTGAAGACAAAGAAGAAGCTATGTTTACCTGTCGGTCTACATTCCTACCCTCACCTGTGATCACCAACTCTGGGTGGTGACCAAAGAGTTTTTTCTGCAGAAAAGATGGGCTCTCCCTTAGAGTGTTTGTGTTTTTACGGTTTTATTTTCCTTTCTGTGTTCATGTTGTATTTGTGTTTTACCTGCTTCTTTCTGTTCCTCCTCAGCCACTCCCTCTTCTGCTGGTCTCACAGGCCTATTATTTGAGTTTGTTAGTGTCCCTTTGGTGTGTATTTGTGCTTTAACTTAAGTTCTGCTTCACATTGGCTCCCTACCACATGTCTGCGTTAGTATACTCACGTTCATTCCTTGTGATTACTCCTTAAGAAATAATACATTTTCTGCCAAATCTGCTTTTTTTTCCACTTTTTGTTTAATACAGTATTTTATTTTTACCAAGCTCTCCAGTTCTACCTCTTAAAAATCCTAAAAGGGACAAGAGGATGTATGGATAGATGGATAGATGGATGTACAAATAGATRGATGGATGGATGGATGGATGGATGGTTAAATGAATGGACAAATAGATGAATGGACAGGTGGACAAATGGATGGAGAGATAAATAATGGATGGATGGATGGATGGATGGATGGATAAACAAGTGGATAAATGGATGGACAAATGGATGGTTGAATGGATGGACTGATGGTCAGATGTACAAATGGATAGATGGATAAATGATGAATGGATGAACAAATGGATGGAGGGAGGGATGAGTTGGTTAGATGAATGGATGGACCGATGGTCAGATGTACAAATGGATAGAATGATGGATGATTGGATGGATAAATGATAGATTGATAGATGGATGGATGAACAGATGGATGGATGGATGGATGGATGAATAAACAGATGGATGGATGGATGAATAAACAGATGGATGGATGAACAGATGGATGGATGGATGGATGGATGGATGAACAGATGGATGGATGAACAGGTGGATGGATGAATGAACAGATGGATGAACAGATGGATGGATGGATGAACAGATGAATGGATGAATGGGTGGATGAACAGATGGATGATCAGATGGATGAACAGATGGATGGATGGATGGATGGATGAACAGATGGATGGATGAATGGGTGGATGAACAGATGGATGGATGGATGGATGGATGGGTGGATGAACAAATGGTTGGATGGATGGATGGATTAACAGATGGATGATCAGATGGATGAACAGATGGATGGATGGATGGATGGATGGGTGGATGAACAGATGGATGGATGGATGGATGGATGGATGGATGAACAGATGGATGAACAGATAGATGGATGGATGAACAGATGGATGAATGGATGAACAGATGGATGGATGAATGGGTGGATGAACAGTTGGATGAACAGATGGATGAACAGATGGATAAATAAATGAAAAGGTTTCTCAGCTCATTTATTAGCTGCATTATAAACTCTTTATGATCAAACCTTTAATTAAAAAGTAAAACCATGTATTTTATAAGGTTTCCACAGCAGAGCACTTCTAAAGGTCTGAACTGGTCCTGGTTCTGAGTTTGATCCAGCCGAACTTTATTGACCAAAGGGAATTGAGCAGAAGAATCAAAGAGTGGTTCTGAGGGACGACGTTAATATTTAATTCTGAGATAAAACCTGACCTCTGCTTCTCCTCTCTGTGTTTCCAGGTGTTTGCCGTGGTCGGCCTCCTGCCGCCGGCCTCTTTAGCGGACCTGACGTGTGAAGCTCTGCACATGCTGGCAGGAAACATCTCATGTAAGCCTTAACTGGACATTATCACAGCGAGATTTAATGAGCATCTTTGACCAGCGTTTTTAAAGGCGGTTATTTCCCAGAGCTTCCCGACCTCTGAGCTCGAGCTGCTCGACTTGTGGGGCTGGATTGATTTTCAGTCTTTTCCTTTTCACGCACATAACAGCTAAATGCCAAAGCCTCATCTTCTGTCTGAACTTTACCCCGGTGGATATCGGCAAACTGTCTTTTTATATTATTCCATTTCCTGTCAGACCTTACAGGAAGAACCAACTCATAAAAGCATCAAAGTAGTTTTATGTTTAAGAAAATTTGTTGAAGCTATTTCTAATGAGCTAATCTTTATGGATTTTTTCACTTCAATAAATCAAAATATAAAGTTTCAAATATAATTTAAAAAAAAAGCAAAATAATTAAACATATAGTCCTGAACAGATAGATCAGTTCTGGTTTTTCAGCAGAATCAAAGCTGGTAATTTGCAAATTCACATTCCAGAGAAACAGTAATTAATTGTTTAATTAAACGGTTCATGAGCAAACTAAAAAACTGGAAAATTTAATCTCGTTTGCGGGTCTTTGAGATGTAGAACGACATCAATCTCAGGCTTATTTTGCTCACTCTTAAATCCAATAATTCCTGATCCTAAAAGAAGCTTTTCGTACTTTCATCTCACTGCTCTGCACCGTGGTGTTGGTCGTTGGTTTTAAAGATGAAACCTAGCGATTTTCGCTCAAACTGAACGCTGGGACGGTTGTTTCTCGGTTCTTTCCTGGACGACCCAGTTTCTGATCTAACACCCACGTTGGCAGGATTACAGGGACATCCAATCCTCCAAATTAAACCACACAAAAGATCCCACGGTGCGGCTGAGCAGCGCTCAGACATGGAGCTCGCATTCATCCCTGAATATCTGCGGTTAAATATAAACCCGGCCCTTTAACAATAGATGTGATTTACTGTATTTATATTTAAATAAAGCACCACTGAAGGCCGAGGATGATGATGGCTCTGATAACCTAAAGGATTAACGCAGATCTCTTGAGTCTGGGGTTTGTTGTAAACAGCTMTTTGAGCAACTCAAACTGTAGCTAACGGTAGTAAGCTAACGGTAATTCAAACAGAGCTAAAGTTTTTTTTTATGTTATCTTAAAAGCATTTTAATTTTTTTAAAATTCAYAGCATTTTATTGATTTTTAAAAGTTTGCATTACACTATTATTCCTGCCAGACTGCTACAGCTAGCTGCTACGTTTGCTTGTACACAAACGTGTACGAGCAAACCAAGTAACATACAACCGAGACCTTTGTGTAAAATGTAACCAAAAAATAAAATCTCAAAAACTTATATTTTATTCACAGTGAGCCTTAATAAACATACAAACAGCACTTCACCAGTTTCTGGAACAGAAAAAAGTCATTTTGAATCTGGATAAAACTTAAAATTATAAAACGGGTTAAGGTTTAATTAATAAAGCTAATTGTCGATGTTCCTTTTAAAGTTGATGGTGTTGAGATTTGAGTCAGTAAGGTGAAGGTTTTGGGTGTTATCATTGATGAGAAGCTGACATGAAAAACCTCATCTAAATTATTTAAGAATAAAAATAGCTAAATCTATTGCGTTACTGTACAAAGTAAGGGAGTTATTCAGTGATAAAGGTCTGTATATGTTGTATAGCGCAATATTTGTTCCAAGCTAAAAAAAAAAAAAAAGAAAAAAAAATGTATAGGTCCTCTGGACGGGTTCTTCTYTAATGAAACGTTTCGTCTCTCCTCCAAGAGACTTCTTCAGTCTGAGAGTTTCAGGCAAAATTCAGGCTTTTAAGCCCTGCCTCCATGTGACTGATACTCACATCACATGGCTATCGTTGACACCTAATTAACACCTATTGTTAACAGGGGTGGAGTGATACTGGCAATAGCAGCACTGCAGGAGGGGGACAACTGAAAACAGAGGCCTCCACCTCTGTTTAATGATGGACGGTCTTTCTTTACAAAAATGGCTTCTTTTACTCCTCTCTCAAACCAACGTTCCTCTCTATCAAGAATGAGAACATCTTCATCTCTGAAAGAGTGACCGCTGGCCTGTAAATGAGTGAAAACTGCAGAGTTCTGGCCATTAGATGTAGCTCGTCTGTGTTGGGACATTCTTTTGAACAGTGGCTGCTTTGTTTCCCCGACGTATAACTGGTCGCAGTCCTCCTGGCACTTAACAGCATATACAACATTGCTCTGTTTGTGCCGGGACACCGGATCTTTGGGGTGAACCAGCCTTTGCCGTAATGTGTTTTGGGGTTTGAAAGCCACTGGGACATCATGCTTAGAAAATAAATGTCAAGGCAGCAGAAAGAAGACGAAGTTCAAAAGAATGTCCCAACACAGACGAGCTACATCTAATGGCGATTGAATTGAATTGAGAGAGGAGTAAAAGAAGCCATTTTGGTGAAGAAAGACCGCCCATCATTAAACAGAGGTGGAGGCCTCCGTTTTCGGTTGTCCCCCTCCTACAGTGCTGCTATTGCCAGTATCACTCCACCCCCTGTTAACAATAGGTGTTAATTAGGTGTCAACGATAGCCATGTGATGTGAGTATCAGTCACATGGAGGCAGGGCTTAAAAGCCTGAATTTTGCCTGAAACTCTCAGACTGAAGAAGTCTCTTGGAGGAGAGACGAAACGTTTCATTAGAGAAGAACCCGTCCAGAAGACCTATACTATTTTTTATCTTTTTGATTTTTTTACCTGGATTACTGAGATCCATCAAGACATTCGAAGCTAAAATTATTGCATTGAAGTTTCAATGCAATAATCATCTCATCAAATATATTATTTTATTAATTGAAATTTTTGAAATTCTATGACTTGGTTGATTATAATATTTTGCAGCTTATGTATAAGGCTCACAAAAACATATTGCCTTTAAACATCCAATTAAGTTTTGTTAAAAGAGAGAGTTGTTACGATCTCAAGGGGACAGAGATGTTTGTCAAACCTAAATTTCGAACCAGTTTAAAAGAACAGTGTACCTCAATCCAAGGAATAAGATTATGGAATAATCTGGAGAGTGATGGTAAAAATGCCAGATCAATGTTTATGTTTGAGACAATAATAAAAGTCGTCCTGTTGAAGAAATACAAAACAGTAAAATGTGTATCTATAGGAATTGTTGATGTTGTTTTTGTTTTGTTTTTATTTGTAGATTATTGTTTGAATTTACTTTTGGAAAAAGGGCAGATATGACATTTTGTTCTTCTTTCTGCTGCCTTTTATTTTATTTGTATTGTTTTTATTGTGTACAGAATTCTTTTTTAATGAATAAACTTCTGAATTGAAGTGAATCTCAAAAAAACAATTGGGACAGAGTCAAGAAAAGGCTTGTAAAAGTAAATTATACAAATAGAAAACAACCAGAGGAGCTTTTTGCAAGTAGTGTGWAAAAATTTCTAAGCTAGGGGAAAACTACTTCGAATTTTTTTAAATTTAAATTTTTTTATGAGAACAGCAAATCACTTTAGCCTTGTTTGAATCACCGTTAGCTTACTACCGTTAGCTTTAGATAGATCTAAACCAGGGATAGAAGGGGCACAACTTCTTGTTGACACTTGCCTTGATATTCTGTCAACTGATCATCTGCCTCCCATAAATTTTATTTTTATTTATTTATTTATTTGTTTAGTGGGGGCCCATCTGCCAGTTGACCATCCCTGATTTAAGCTATTTCTTTAAACCAAAGAAATGTTTACAACAAACCCCAGTTAGTAAGACACAGTATAGATTTTTATATTTAATGGGTTATGGATGTAAACTTTGATTTGGGCATCATGATGGTGCAGTGGTTAGTGCTATTACCTCTCAGTTTTAAGGTCGCAGGTTTGCTTCCCACCTGGAGTTTACATGTTCTCCCCTACAAGGGTTTCTCCAGCTGTGGTTGTTCGTCTCTACGTGTCTCTGTGATGGACTGGAGACATGTCAAGGTGTCCCCCTTGTCTCTCACACAGAGACGTTTGAACATAAAGAGATGCAGGTAAAATAAAACGGATGGATACATGATTGGTTTTATTTAACCATCATTCAAATGATCCAAACCCTTTAAAGCGACAGCATGTTTTACATTTAATATTAGGATTAAAAAAATGGTACAAGGAATAAAATAAAAATCCAATTATGTCTGTCTTTGTCGTGTTCGCAGCTTTACCCAGAGTTCTGCTTTAAAAAATATAAAAACATTTTGTTTTAGGTTGTTCAGGACATGTTTTTTTATGATTTTCTCACATTTATGTGTGAAAACACCCGTTACAGGAAAGGCGATGAAAGCTCCAAATTGAGTGCCCCCTTTTGCCCAAAGGAACATCCTTATTTACGGATCTTTTTTTTTTTTTTTTACCCAAGTCCTCTCGAGTTGACAGAAATGATGGTCTGACCTGCGGGTCGTGTTCATGTTTGCTGTCCTGCTACCGGTGCTTACCGTTGCCCTTTAACGCTCACCCTTTGTAGMGTTTGACGTGAATCTAATAAATAATTTTGTAAATGTTTAAATGAAGTTTTACCGATGGAGCCGTCTCTTGTTTGGATTGCAGTGCAGTCCCTGGTCGCCTCCTGGAACCAAACCCTGAGCAACGCCACGAGCCAGTGGAGTGGTGAGTCCGACACGCCAAGATGTGAAAAAAAAAAAAAGAAACAGCTGAATTCCCACACAGTCAAAACAAAACAGAGTCGCTGTGGAATACCACACGAGGGAGACGGGTTTGATACAAACTCAGTTTATTAAAACTAACATCAAAGACGAGAGCAGAGCTGGAAATAGATCCGACACCGGAGACGGCGCTCGGCTCGGAGAAACAAAGCGCAGGAGTAATCATTAAAATCCGCACGCTCGGCTCCTCGCTTTGTTCCAGCGCCGTCGGAGTTTTCACCGTCTGACATTTCTATCCTCTCGCCTCAGGCTCGGGGATCTACTGCGAGACCTCCATCGACGGCATCGGCACGTGCTGGCCCAGGAGCGGCGCCGGCCAGATGGTGGCGCGGCCCTGTCCGGAGATGTTTTACGGTGTCAGATACAACACCACCAGTAAGTCTTCTCCCAACATCTACCCCCTCCTCAGTCGTTTTATTCCACGTTCCCTGCAGAGAAAAAAAAAACTGAAATTAGCATACAAATTAGCAAAACACATCAAAAGTTTAGGCAGAAAAACAAAACAGGATAAAGCAGATGACTAGATAACATCTGAAAATCAGAGCTGAAAGTCCTTAGGTCAGAAAATTACTGAAGTTGGCTGTAAAATAGCAAATAACTCATACCAGGTGTTTTTTTTTATTTCTTGCTCACCGCAAAATCATAAATAAGAAACAAAATCGGCTCATTTGTCTCATTGATGTTTAATGTGTCCTTAAAGTCAAATATTTGTTAGCAGAATTTGTGACTGGATGCCATCTATTGATGGAAACAGCCGAAGTGACTGAATGTCAAACATATCATTTACTGCTTGTTTACCTAAATAAACAGCTGAAGTCACTGAAAATACATCAGATGGTTGATTTTCTGCATATGTTTGTTTGTGACTAAAAACAGGTCWAAGTTTCCACTTATTTACCTACGGAAACAGCTGAAACATGGGTCCATTGGTGGGCATGGATTTGCTAATATGCTAACTGCTAATAACAGAACTAATGTTTTGTTTAGCAGATTAGCATTTTCACTCATTAGCTTCTTCTAAATTAGCTGTTACTGTTAGCTAGGGCTGGGCGGTATGACCTGAAATTCATATCAGGGTATAAATTGGATCTCTTCACAGTAACGGTATATATCACGGTAGAAAATTATCCTGAAAAGCAAAGATAATGTAATTTTTAGAGCATTTATTTTGCAGAAAACTGTAAATATAATCAAACCCAGCATTTTTGCTGTAGTGCAAATGAACATAACAGAAAAATAAAAGAATGTTTTATATATATTGCAAAACGGTTTCAACAACAAACAAAAACATTTCTCAAATTTTCAACAAAATAAAGTGAAAATTAGTTATTTAGACATAAAAATTCTAAGTTGGCATTAGTTGCCTAAAATGTTATAGTGAGACAGGACCTTACGCTGCACATAGTCCTGTCATAAAACAGTTTCAGATAAATGGAATGTAAGTGTGGTGAAGTCAAATAAATGTAATATTGGCCTGCCATACAATGAGCTTCTGCCTGCTGAACTGACCCACTGCTGCTCTGCTGCGCTCGGAGCAGAACTGTTACGTTAGCAAGATGGATTTATGACTGAACGAACGTTCACGTGTTTTTTGATCATCTCTGTGGGTAACAATACACAAAAAACAAGTTTTTTCTCCAATAACTTGAGTGTGAAAAAACTTCGGCTGTTAAAGCTTCGCTCTGCGCGACGTGCAGCGGGATGGAGGAAATGATCCCGTCACACGACGCTACTTTTCTACAGCGGRAGATGGAAATTGTACTCTCTCTCGCTTGACTCGTTTTTTTTTTTTTTTTTTTACCAACTCCTTCCGCTCAGTTGACGATATGACGGTAGAGGGTACATTTCTACCGTAGGAAAACTTCATATCGTTTCTATCGTCTATCCCATTTACCGCGCAGCCCGACAGTTAGCTTCTTTTAAATGTTGCTTGTTTAGGGGTTAGCTTCTGCTATTTTTTTTATTTTTATATGTTTAGCGGTAAGGAGGCTACATTTTTAGTTAGCAGATTGTGAGTTAGTGAAGCAAACCTTTTGGTTAGCTGTACCCAGCACTGCTAGGTAAATGTGAATGAATTACCAGTGGAGGGGCATGGCACATCTAATCTGCTAATAAAAGAGCTAACTTTTCGCTTAGCGGATTATCGTTTTTGCTAACTTCAAAAACAGTAAGCGGGACCAATTATAGCTTCTGCTAAATTAGGTTTTGCCAACTTAACAGCTAAGTTTGTGTCAGTCCCAGTGTTCGGTTTGAAGGAGACGGATGACGCAGACTGAGTGGTAGTTGTCTTAACGGTTAATGATACCGTCCACTAATTTTTACCAGTTTAACAATAGCAAAGGTAACTTTTTGCTTAACTGTGCCCACCACAGTCATATTAAATTGGCTATTCTTGTTTACCTATCCAGGTCAGCTCTGCGAGTAAGAMCTTTTTGTGGTTTTGGGCAGACTTTTGCTTTGTTTACATTGAATGCAGACCTGCACTTCAGAAATGCCAATCAAGAAACCTAACAATCTACCTGATTTAATTCTTTCAAAACTGCACCATCTAATATATTTTGGGATAAATTTTGATATAGTTGAGGATATTTTGTTTTATGATTAAATCATACTTAACTTTACAGTCAATCAAAATGACATTATCTGATACCTTTTTTATTTTTTTTCGTCAGGAGTTTATTTTAAACTGAAGTGAAGATGCAGCGTCAGCTCTATAAATTCCATCTGATCCTCTCTAAGGAACAAAAATCCCCTCTCAGTATTAATAATTCATATTTATATTTACCATCTGTGACGGGGCGGTTTTATTTCTCACGTCGTGTGTCTGTTGCCCTCTGAGATGCGTGCTGTAGTAAAACAAGAACAAGAAGTGTTGCTGTGTTTGACGTGTCTGAATTTTCACAAACAAGTGATTTAAAACATTCATAAGGAGGGAGAAAAACAGTCGAGAAGATAGCAGAGGTTGTGTTTCCTGCTTCTGAGGTTATCTGATAAAAGAAAGCGACAGCTCGTTTGACCTTGGTGTCGTTTTGTGTCTAATCCGGCGAGCTGCTGCTCAGGCTAATGGCAGCCGCTGCTAATGACACTGCTACACTGAGCCTGGCTTCTTGAGCCTGAAATGTCGGCTGATGTTAGCATATTTGAGGTCAAATCAGCAGCTATACATCTTAAGTCCATCAATATTAGACTCTTTATAGTCAGTGCCTTGAAATGTCACAGGGAGAGCGAATATCCAGGAATAAAATGTAACACTCCCTAGATTGTGTCCCACATGTGTCCCCATTTTTTTAACCCAATTTGAGGGATGGTTCTGGTGGATCCTAAGCTCACCCTATCCCAAAGTGCGTTGCTGGCCTACCGGAGATTTTTGGAATACAGTTTTAAATAAAAATCTTGCGGTAAAAAAATGTAAAGTTTAAAGCGGTTGTGTTGTTAATGCTTTTCTCATTTGCATAGATGTGCTTTTTATATTATTAGTGTTGGAAATCAAACGAGCTGGTTTGGTGAAATAAATTATTTACCTTTTTTTTTTTCTAAAATCACAGCGTTCTCTGAGTCAGCTTCAGGTGCTTAATCATAACATCTCCTAAATTTAACCAGGTTTTTCAATGCCTTTAAATTACACAATCAATTTAATGGAGAAACCTGTCAGTTTGGTTAAAAAAACAGTATTTTTTTTTCCTGTGGAGAGAACTTCCTCTGCTATGATTTTTTTTAAAATAAATATATCAAATGTCCTCAGTTGAAAACACTAAAACGATAGGAAAGACGTTTGACAACCTCTTTCCTCAGAAAGTGTTCAGTCCTAAGAACACTAAACTGTAACTTTTAATAAGTACACAGT